TCTCTCTCTGGTCTCTCTCTGGTCTCTCTCTGGTCTCTCTCTGGTCTCTCTCTGGTCTCTCTCTGGTCTCTCTCTGGTCTCTCTCTGGTGTCTCTCTGGTGTCTTCTCTGGTGTCTCTCTGGTGTCTCTCTGGTCTCTCTCTCTGGTCTCTCTCTCTGGTCTCTCTCTCTGGTCTCTCTCTCTGGTCTCTCTCTCTGGTCTCTCTCTCTGGTCTCTCTCTCTGGTCTCTCTCTCTGGTCTCTCTCTCTGGTCTCTCTCTCTGGTCTCTCTCTCTCTGGTCTCTCTCTCTGGTCTCTCTCTGGTCTCTCTCTGGTCTCTCTCTGGTCAATGAAGTCAAAGTCAATGTCATGATATGTTCTTTACTCTGTAAATTGATTGTTGATTATTCTACAATTCAAGATGTGCAAATGTGGCTCTTTTGTGCCTTTTTATCCTTGTTCTGCACTATTTTCATTATAATTTGTAAAGTTTGATTGTAATTGACTTTTGGGGGTGCGGTGCTCATTAGATTTTTGCTTCAGCCCACTCCTTTTGTGCAGTATTAATACTGTTCAAATAAAAATAATCATAATCATAATAATCATACATAATACATAATTAAATAAATACATATATAATTAAAAATAAATATATTAATAGATACATAGAAATAAATAAATAAACATACATTTCCTAACACATTTATCTAAACAGACTTCAAGTTTATCTGTTTTATATTAACAGGTGTTTTTTCTCACAATATTATCTTATTTTCATACAATTACTAGATTATTATTATTATTATTTACTATTATTATTACTTTTATCAGAAGAACAAAACTCGAGAAAAACCTGCTGACTGAAACACAGGTGAAGGGTGAGCAACCTTCCTTTGTTTACAACTTTAATGTTATTTTCATTTTTTATTGTGAAATACAATGCGAGCGACTGTGACGACACGATTTCCCTGGTGGATCCACAAAGTCTGGGTTAGTCTAAGTCCGAGTCTAATTCACAAAGAAGGACTGGCGGCCTGCTCCAACCAAAACCTCACAGACAAATGTATGTTTTAGTGTTTTGGATCCACAGGAGTCAAAGCCCGTTATACAGTATGGACTCCCTCTGTGTCCTCCCACAAACCCAACTCCGGGTTCTTTTCTTGAACAATGTGTCGGAGATTTCTGTTGGTCTTTAATTGACCACGGAGTATTCTGCTCTGTGCTTTTGCAGCCACTTTCACAGAATGCCCAGTCCAAGGGAAAAAGTGCTGAAGTTTTATATACGTTAAACCCATTATTTCAAATGGAGGATTGATAAACGTCGAGACCTTTAGAGGTTACTTTGTAAAATGTTTCTGCTTTATGAAAGTCAATAACTCTCTCTGCTCAACGACACATGGTTCATACAGATATAGGCACAAGAATGACTGTCCTGACCCGCAGAAAACAGATCATAGATTATATTCTAGGTTCATAGATTATGTTCTAGGTTCATAGATTATGTTCTAGGTTCATAGATTATATTCTAGGTTCATAGATTATGTTCTAGGTTCATAGATTATATTCTAGGTTCATAGATTATGTTCTAGGTTCATAGATTATATTCTAGGTTCATAGATTATATTCTAGGTTCATAGATTATGTTCTAGGTTCATAGATTATATTCTAGGTTCATAGATTATATTCTAGGTTCATAGATTATATTCTAGGTTCATAGATTATGTTCTAGGTTCATAGATTATATTCTAGGTTCATAGATTATGTTCTAGGTTCATAGATTATATTCTAGGTTCATAGATTATGTTCTAGGTTCATAGATTATATTCTAGGTTCATAGATTATGTTCTAGGTTCATAGATTATAGTCTAGGTTCATATATTATATTCTAGGTTCAATGATTATAATCTCCATCCTGTTGGTTTGTTGAACACATTTTTATGGCCTTGCATAAAAATGGCCTTGATTTGAGCAGATTTCTAATCATAAATAAAAATGAGCCAGTGGAAAAAACATTTTCACTTAAAACAAGAAAAATATACTGTATGTAGTTAAACCTGAATGAACTAAATTAAATTAGAAATCTTCTTCCACTGGCAGATCATTTTCAATAATTTTCTTACCTATTTAGATACAAAAGAATACTTTTATTCATGTAATTTTAGCAAACAATCATTCATTTTAATTATCTTTGAAAAAAAACAAATAAAAAACTCCATGGTGAGGGGCAGATCCTAAGGCCTTCACACATTTCTCAAATGGCAGTTTTTTGTTCAGGTGCTAATTTTAAGAATGTGTCCAGAAACATTTCACAGTTTGTTTAAACAGTGAAATATTACAAACCTCTACATCTCTAAACCTTTTATTGAGTTGGTGCAACCCTCAACTTGTACATGTACGTTTGGGGAGTTTTTGTTTCCATTGGGACACATTTAATGAACAATAAATGGCTTCAAACTAACAGTAATTGTTTCATGTATTTTATCACTTATAACCTCCACTATAAGGAAAGATTTGAGAACCTAATAATTCAAATTGAAATGATACAATTTAGTCTGAATTATTGACTGTAATGACAGAAAAGAAAACAAATCCAGTTGTAAAAAAATTGTATTCTTTGTTTCTAACATTTATTATAATCTATTTTGAATCTGTAGTGATGTTGTGTTACTTTGAAGTCCTCTGTTTCTGGTCTTAAAACTAGACTAACTCACTTTGAGATTTCGAAGCAGCGTTTTAAATGTGTTTCAAAATCTGGTCCCAAAACAAATTATCTTCCGCGTTGCACGAAAAATTGTTCTAACATAAAATGACACTCTACTATAAACCTGCGCTACTTATTCTTCAAAAGGACGTATATCCCAATGCACCAATGGATATGGATTGGATTTTCTTCATGAACACAAAAATAAAGTGAGCTAATGCAGCTTTAATTCACTCAAAATCTCATGTGAACCTTGATAATTGTGACGTGGACAGAGATTCATGAGAGAAAAAAATCACTATTGACTATTTTCCCAAGCTTCATTTTTACAAACATACTTAAATCAACTTTTTCTTTTTCATAATAATCTATAAACAACAACTTTTGGACAGCCCCGAAGAACATTTTCTGCTCGTCTTTCGAGATCGGAGTCTCTCCCACACAGGTCGTGAAGGCGCATACGACCAATGTGAGTTTCAGGGAAGCGGAATAGATTTTAGTTTGCAATTCTGGTTCAAAAATAATTGCACTTTATTGGATTGAAAGTGTAAGAAACTCAACAAAATGGCACAAATTTGAAATAATGTAAAGTATAGATTCAACCTTGAGAGCAGTGCTGTGGAGCGCGAGGAAATTAGATCTTAAAGGACGCACAAACGGATTATTCAACAGTTCAACACATAAAACACTAAAACTGATTATCTACTACGACAACATTAGCAAGGCAAGTTTGTATTTGCACATTTTATACACAAGGCAACTAGAACTGCTGTACAAAACAAGATAGAAACACACACAAGTCATTCAAATCTGCACAGTTTTCAAGAAGACTGTGCAAAGTTCTCAGCTATAATGGCATAAGAGGCCTATTGAGTGATATCAGTCGGACAGTAGCAGCTTGAGTAGAAGAGCAGTTAAAATATAGTCATGTCATTTTCTACCCCTTTATAAATACATTTTTGGGTCGATTGCCAAGTCTCATAGCACCAGTCCCTCACTGATCCTCCTGCAGGTGGTGGGTCCACGGGAAGATGGCTTCTCCGTCATCGACTAGACGGCTTTGGTCTTTCTGAGGGGGTATCAGGCAACGTGGTTACTGTACAGTAAGTGTCTTGCCCGCAGGGACGCAACGACAGCAGACATCAGTGGGAGCAGGTGACATGGGTCGTGGTGGGCTCGAACCCACAACCATTGGTTCCAAAGAACAGTGCTCTTCCAACTGAGCTACTGTCGCCCCATTAAAATATAGTATACATAAATTAGTATTAACTGCATTATATCATTAGTTGGTACATCCTTCAGTCCACTGCATTGTCAACTTCTACTTGCGACGTAAATTAGCGTGATTGTATTTTAAATCTGGCTCCACTCACACAATCCCATTATGACAATGTGCTGCGTCTACATCTGGACGAACAAAATGACAGCCTTGGCAAAATAAAGTAAATGTTGTTTGTAGATGACTTTTCTGAGTATTTTAATGGGTTTGCGGTCTGGATTTATGATGAAACATAGTTTGGCTGTTTTGTTGGTGCTCAGCTCAGTTATTTTTCTGCTGAGTGTCTTGGGGCTAAAAAGCCAAATTATTTGCTCTCGAAACTCCTGCAGTTCACATTTGTGAAATCACTGCTAATGTTTTGACTCGGCTGCACTTTTGCACATTTAGTTCTGAGTCAGACAGCAACTGAGAAGTCACACAGGGTTTATTCACAGATAAATATATGGAATAGTTATAGGTAAAAAAAAAATATATGGAGTATTACTAGTTGAATACTGTATATGGAGTAGTTATTGCTACATCTGTTATTCTTATAAAGCTAATTATTTTAAATGTATATTGTGTTATTTAGGATTTTACATCTATGATTTGAATGTTTCATCTCCTTTGTAAATGGGAGAGTGGAGGAGTGTTTTAGCCTGTGTGAGTGTGCATGTGTGTGTGTGTGATTATTGTGCGTGGGTGTTTGTGTGAGTTTTGTGTGTGTATGTGTGTGTCTTGTAATGCATGAGAATGGAACGTTTTTGGATAGAAACATTATGTTTAGAATAGAATAGCGTTATTGTCAGTGCCAGAAATCTATCTTTTGCCCGTGATTACACCTCCATTTCAATACAAACACACACATTATGGTAAAAAAAAAAAATCTAACCGTATCTATACATATACCTACTATTCACTACAGCTCAGTGCAGACACAACGCCATGCAAACTCCTCAACCAACTGATTTATTTAGCAAACATCACACAACTCATTCTTGTTTCTAAGCCAGATCTGAACAGTTTTCACCTTCAAAATAAAAAAATAAAAAATATGTCTTACCTTCCAGTGATGAGCAGGAACAAGGTGAGGATGACGAGCAGAGTGAAGCCGCCCACAGCCGCGGTGACGATGACCAGGACCTGGCCCTGGTCTGCCGCCAAGTCCGAGGCTTCACACATGCAAAACAACAGAACAACATGATTAGGATTAAGAGACCCATTTTGCATCACAAGTTTCAGAACCCTAGGAATGAGGAGAAAATGAACATAAGGGTATACAGGAGGTTGAGGTTTTTCACAATTTTTAGGAAAGAAGCGCATTCTCCATTCTCTCCGGTCTTATTTGACGAGCACGTTTCACCAGAAGGATTGGCAATTAGAAGGATCAATAAAAAAATGTTTATGATCCACCCAGGAGTAGAATATCTGCCCATATACTTCCAAGTATAGCACAATAGAAAGTAAAGAGGGGGGCTGGGTGGTTTTACTATTACAATTTCTGCTTGATAAATGTATGGTCATGTATCCATCTACTTTTGTTTTACTGTTTTACATGCACCTTCTCAGGGATTACATGTGTAATTCAATCTGAAGAGACCAAAGACAGACAATTAATACATTAAAATCATTTATTTATTTGGCGCATTGACACTCGCAGCAATGAGATCGATTGCAGCTGAAGATGATCTCAGATCCCCTGGTGTCAAGCACTGGTGGTGGCTAGAATATGGTGTGAATGGGGCGTAGGCGGAGCAGGAGCCAGAGCGGGGGCCAGAGCGGGAGCCAGACGAGGTGCTGGGTTTTAAAAGCTTCAGGAAGCGCTGCTTGTCAGGAAGTGGCTGCCTTTTAAACTGCTCGCTTTGCTGTCAGAGGGTTGGCACGAGGCTGGCAGAGCTGTGTGATTGGCAGGCTTGGAAGGGGGGAGTTGCACCCGGTTTTTCAGTCTGAATTTGCGCTTCAGCTTCATATTAGCACTGCTGCTACAGTAAACATTAGCCAAGAGGAGAGATGCATTGTCTAGTAGAACAATGCATCTCTCCTCTTGGCTAAGGTTTTTTGTACAATGTCCTTGTAAAAACAAAATTCATACCAAACCACACTTAAAATAATATCTCTATCTTTATCTCTATAAAATACCGTATACTAATGCAAGGATTAGATGCCAATTTTCACAAAGGATGCATGTGATTGTGGAGAAATGGATAAAACGAAGGTATAAAATTAACATGAAAGAGTTGAAAGGAGAGGAGAAGAAATAGATTCACGGTTATTTGAAATATTCCATTTAATCAGGGCGGCATAAGAAACACGCACATATTACCGAGGAATGTTTGATCATCGCTTTGTAATGCAAAAAACCTTGACGACGACTCCGCTGGAATGAGCCATAGACCGGCTGCTGTTTAATTAATATTATTCATTCATGAAATTGTGATTTAGTCCCTGATCATTTGGTTAAATTGGTCTCATTTGATATTCATGATTTTCCTCCTTCTCTGTCTTGTCACAGGCCTAACGAATCTGGGATAATTGAAAGATGATTGCTATTACCAAACTTATTTCGATAATGTTTCAGGCTTAATGAATATGAATGGGCGAAGGCTGCGCTGGATACAGGCTGATGCAGAGTGTGGACGGGGAGAAGGTGAAAGGCTTAGGGAGCTGAGCATGACCACTTCTGAGTACAGTGGACTTACTTATGTATGCTGTGGGCAACCTTCATTTTTATGCAGATATGAGTGAAAGATCAGAGACCCATCAGAGCAGAAATACTGGATTAGTTCTGGTTTCACATCGTAGTTATGCACCTTATTCTAACCATTCTGTTATTGTGTACCGCAGAAAATGAGAGTTTGATGTTGAAAAGGTTACACTAATTTTTAAGATTGTTCTCATTTTTTTCTATCAGATTTGGAGATTTTTTTCAAGCCTCAATGTTAAAGACATGGAAAGTTTAACATTTTTAGTTGAATTACAGAAATTGATAAACTACTATATAATAATGACTCACTACATGAACAGTGGCATATCCCAAGCCTTTGTTTCTAATTATTTAGTTTTTAACAGTTGGGAGCAAATATCAACATTATAGCAAATTGAGGATTGGATATTTGACTCCCAGAGTAACTGGGAAAAATTTTGTGATTGGTGTGAACAAGCTTGATATTGGGTACAGTCATGATTTATCATTGCATATTTGCTACTAGGGCACAAAGTATGTGAATGTACACAAAAGTAATAATGATAATGAATAATACAATCTGAAATATGTGTATTATTTGGTTAGTTCATTTCTAAATTCTTTGGCGAGCTACCTGGAAGGGGGTGGCTAGCTACTGGTGGCTCCTGATCTACAGGTTGGAGACCCCTGCTCTAGGGTCTAGATTTATTATTATTAATTAACACGTTTAAAGATACATTGTTCTTTTGTTGTTTGAAATGGTGTCTGTGGATTTGAATGCTCTTAATATATGCATTAAAATGAAACAGAACACTCCAAAGCAGCATGTTCACTTTGACGTACTGAAATAACTGCTGAATATAAAATGACGCAGCTTACCAATTCCATAAACTGTAGACAAAAATCTACAAATCAACACTATTTGTATAAAAATCCTTCAATGTCGCATAACGTGTTCCCCGGGCTTTGCTTAACTTTTTGTTTCATAAATAATACATTTTGTTTGTCCCAGCAGGAAACATCTTTTGAAAGTGAAATGATGTGAACAAATCAGCCCACAACAAGCTTAATCGTCTTCATTTTGTCTTTTGCACGGATAAAAAAAGAGCCCTGTGAGCCACTATTTCACTCTTTGGTGCTGGAAGCTGATTGGCTGAGGGAGCGTGGACCTCCATTAGTCACTATTGTGTTTGAAAAATCTGATCTGAAGTTATGACGGAGGCCAAATATACATGCATGAAAAAAATTAGTGAAATCCCCAACTGTCCTGAGAGCTGGATTTTATGACATTGATCATTTTTGTTGTAATTCATACGTTACAAACCCTCGGCGTTAAGGCTTTAAACAAAGACTGGACATTGTACCGGCCTTCACAAAACAATGAGTGAAGCGCGATGGAAACAACACAGGCGTAAAAAGGCGGCGACAGAAGAGGAGCAGAGCTGTGGACAGTGACTGACAGCGAACGGACAGGACGACTGAAAGCTGCACAGCGACAGAGGCCAGAGCCACCTTCTCTTTGACATAAAAGGCAGCCCAGTACAAAGGCTTGGCCCAGCGCCTCCTGATCCACAGATAAAACCAGGTCTGCAGCTTTGGAGCGCAACAGCCAAATCATCCACAACAATGGCTAACCTGACATGAAAGGGCAGTCGCACCTTTGTACTTTAGGAGTCGACTTCCAATAAATCCACTACACACACAAAAACATTCAATCAAAAAAACGCACTGAACATTAAGGAGGTATTGGCGCTTTCCCTAAGAGACCAGAGTCAATAGGCACACGCAGAGAGGAAGTCTGCTTTAAAGTGGAAGAAAGTTTTACAACAGAGCCACAGGTGCAGCGAGCGGAGAGTCGAGCAACACTTCGGGATAAGGTCGAAAATTGTACATTTTGGGGGTTTGGGATATGTACAAAGAAAGCTTAATGTGAGCGTACCTCATTTTTCAAAGCAGAGATATTGTTACTGTAATAATATTCATCGAACTCTCACGACAGCCCGGTTCTCACTAGTTTTGCATGTATTTGTTTGGCCTCTGTCACATCTTTTGATCAGCCTTTCAGACGGTAAAGTAAAAAAAATGGAGGACCAAAGGGACGAATAGTGTCTGGTAAAGTGGTCTGATTGGTTCACAACCTTCAACGTTCTACATTTTTGTTCATTTTCATTTACATCCCTTTAATTCCATTTCTGGGTCAGGGGAGTGGCAATCACATTCTAAATTATATTTTTTAACTCTTCTATCCATTCTATATCAAAGGTGTTTATTCTTATGAATACACAGCATGGTTGATTGGTAGATAGATGAACTAGTTCCCTGGGGCTTAGAGACTTGAGTGGCAGCTCTGATGTCCACTCCCCGACCCAGAAATGGAATGAGATGTTGCTGCAGTACAGTGTTCATGGTTTTACACTGGTCCAAACCAGAGCAGAGAGGATTCATGGTCCGAACCAAGCGGATCAGAGGAGAGAAAATGGCCCGAACCAAGCGGCTACTCCACATTGTGACCCGTCCTGCTCCACCCAGAGGCTACTCCACCTCTGCTGCTGTGACCCGTCCTGGTCCACCCAGAGGCTACTCCACCTTGTGACCCGTCCTGCTCCACCCAGAGGCTACTCCACCTCTGCTGCTGTGACCCGTCCTGCTCCACCCAGAGGCTACTCCACCTCTGCTGCTGTGACTTGTCCTGCTCCACCCAGAGGCTACTCCACCTCTGCTGCTGTGACCCGTCCTGCTCCACCCAGAGGCTACTCCACCTCTGCTGGTCTCACCTGAAGGGCTGTTGCTGATTATTACTATTGGTAGCTTTATAGAATGATACATTTTATTTTTGCTGCTACTGGACACCTGAATTATTCCAACGCGGATCAAAAAAGTATCTATCTTTCTATCTAAAGTTACTCTCGGAAAATCCCAGGACTACATACTTTTTCACGTTTTACTGTAAGGTTAAATAAACCTCTTAAAAAAAGAAAACGTGTATTCTTAGTAAAGAGAAAGCTTTTTTTTCTGGTTGTTAAATGACAGCTGTTTAAGCACTGCAACATCCACCCATCCGTTCTCTTCCCCTTAATCCATTTCTGGGTCGGGCGGGTGGCAGTCAGAGCGGCACCCAGTACACATAGCACTAGTCCCATAATAAGAATAATGATTATTAAAAGTATAAATAAAAGTATTCTAAGTATTCAGAATACAGGTACTATCGTTTCCAAAGTAACGGAATATTTACAAAACATTTCCGGTCGAGTATTCAGTATTCTGGAACTGAACACATTTTCAGAGTATTCTCCCCGACTTTATTCTCTATTGAGGACAGACTCTTCAACGTGACTTCAACTGTCGACATCCCTCTCACATCGAAGTTTGGCACGAGTGACTGAAGCGTAATCAGACATGCAACATAAAACATCGGAGAAAATGGCATCAAAAAGGTGTAAATTATGGACTGCCAAATTAACTAGCGCTTCTTCCACTTTGCTATCACAGAAGTTAATTTATACCTGCAACTCTAACAAAAACCCAATGGGACCGCGCTCTCTTTCCCACTTCCCTGCAGCAGATTGAGACATGCAGCCAGAACACCACAGTTATTGTTGTCTCACTTCAGATTGCATGTGTCTCTTGCATAATTTTTTTTCACTACATCCAGACTAAAAATATGTTGGCGTATGCACATATATACACACACGGAGAGAGATCACCCCATTATTTATTGTGGTGACATTGATGCAAACAGCCTCCGGGGCGACTCCAGGCAAACTGAACTGCGCCTGACCTGGCAACTCCGCTGGTTTTTCAGGCAACTCTGATAAAGTTATGGCCAGAGGAGGATTTTTTATATTTAACTCAGTCTATTTGCTATGACTTGCATTGACGTCTTGATGTTGTGCTGACTTGGTTAGATTGTGTGCTACTTAAGGCGGTGTTTCGAGGGAATATTGAGCAAAAGACACGAAGAAAAAAACCAAAACCAAGTATTTTGAAATGCATGACTTTGGAATAACTGACTATAAAAAAAGAAAGTTATAGCATTTTCGGAGTTTCACACATAGATAGATAGATATAGTGTGCCCTGTGTATGAACTGTGCTATACAGATAAACTCGCCTTGCAGTTTAGATGAAGGAACACATTTGTTTATAGGACAACACATCATTCACTGAACTGAAGGCAATACTTTTAGTTTAAAAAGCATAAAAATGCATCATAGTTTAAGGATTTGGTCAAATAAGATACAATAAATTAATGATTTCACAATGGAAACATTTAAAGCATAACATGTTTGAAAAAGGAGCATTTTGACAGAAGGGGTGTTGAGGATTTTTATTTGCCAATAATTTTTCTACTTTCTTAATTTTTTAATGTTACTTTTATTTTATTATTTATTTCAGAAGACATACAAGAAGACAAGATAAAAAACCACAAGACGAAAAACAGATATAATCAAAGACAAAACTAAAATAAATGGACAGAATCAAAGAAGTTTTTCTAATTGGTTGGAGATAAAAGAAAACAGTTTTGGATCATGTGTTGAAAAAATGAGACCTGGGGCAGCATTGGAAAAAGCAGAATGGGCCTGGAGGTCTATTTTCAGTTTTTCAGTTTTTCTGAGGACGAGATGACAGAGCTTTCAAAGACGCCAACCCTTGAGATATGAAACAAGTCCAAACTACATTGATATGACCGAGGTTCGCCGTGGACTGAATATTGTGTCTCGTCCCGAAGTCCAATTCATATCCCATATAGTCCAATTGTGGGCGGCACGGTGGTGCAGTGGTTAGCGCTCCACCTCCAGACCTTTTTGTTTGGAGTTTGCATGTTCTCCCCGTGTCTGTGTAGGTTCCCTCCTGGTGCTGCGGTTTCCTATATCACTAATAATATGTACAATAGGTCTCAGTGTGTTGTAAATTGTAAAGCCCTAATTAAAGACTTTGTTGAAACTCAAAACAGAGAGGATTTTGCCTAATAAGTGTCCTTTAATGTTCACTCGTTGAAGTACGTTTAAGGATTATCTAACTCCTAGTTTTTTTTAAATTACCAACCACTTGCCTCAACCAAATGGTTAAGATGCAGTTTGATGGTAAACGTGGCTAAAACCAAGTGAGATGCCCCAAAGACGTAAATCTCAGTTCTAAACTTTAGAGTTATTTCCAGTCATCATTAAAGGGCCCTAATCTGTCAAAAGGCTTTAATAAAACATCATCTTTTCCAATACTTCTTTAACTGATAACAGTAGTTCAGGCGAGATAATTGAACATCAAACTTGGATTTGCCCCAATATCTTGTTATTGTTTTCATTTCGATGTCCCGCCCTCCACCGTTTAAAGCTGCACTAACTGACTTTGGGATTTTGAAGCCGCGGACTCTCTGGCCTCGCTCTTTCTCCTCCCCTCCCCGCACCCACGAAGCTATCGCCCCCCACACACACCCACTGTTTTTGACGGAGCTAGCGTCTCCCAATATGGATAATACATGGATATGGATTTGCACGTGGATAGCGTGACCATAGAACCGGGAAGCGCGGAGGAACGGGACTTTCTTTTGAATGGCTGTTTTGCTGTGTAAGCAGTAACCGGTGACGAAGACGAGGAAATTTAAGGTTAGCTCCGCCGCTTGTTGTGCTAACTCAGCCGTCTATGCTAACGGACCAGTAGATTTCTCACAAAAGTGGGGGCTAGTGATCCGCTGTGATTGGTCACAAACTGAGACCCGAAACGCATTCTCTTCCTTGTTTCATAAAAACTTGATCTAAAATATAATGTCACGCCAGCACAAATCTGCGCTACTTTTTCTTCAAAAGGACGTATATCCCATTGCACTACATCAGGCATGTCAAAGTCAAATACATCAGAGGGCCAAAAAAACAAATTTGCTGTGAGCCGAGGGCCGGACTGGTTCAATGTTTATTAACTCATTGCCTGCCAGCCTATTTCAGAACAGGTACTCCCATATTGCCAGCAGTTTCTGATGATTTTATAGATTTATAGATTTTTCAAGACCCACAGAATATTGTGTACTATGACTATCTGAAATCCGAAACCAGATTCTGAAAGAATAGACTGTCTACTTTCATCAGCAAAAATAATTTTGTTTTTAGCTTGTAATTCCCAGTTGAGTAGATTTGGCCCGCGGGCCTTGACTTTGACACCTGTGCACTACATGGACATGGATAGCAGCTTTAACCAATCAGAAAGTCTGTGATCCAGGCGCCAGGACACGAGCGAATCTCACTGGTAAAGTACCATGTGGCCGCAGAACTAAAAAAGGTCTATGATTTGAGAATCATAACGACACAACAAGAAATAAAACCAGGATTTCTATCTTTGTGAAAAAGGTGTTGTTTATATATTCGTTGTTGACAAAACTCTTGTCTATTCAGATATTAGGGTCTAGGGATGTAAATCGGCGACCGTTTAACCGGTGGTTGACCGTCACAGCGTTAACCGGTCAAAGCTGTCGGTTAAAAAAAGAGAAAAAGGGGAGAGGGGAAGTCTCTTAATAACGCTATTTTAAGCCCTATTTGCACGGTGTGACGAGCGGGTCTGTATCTAGCTGTGTGCGCCCATGTATTATAAACTCCGGGACGACTCTCACGCCGCACGAGCCACATATGCACACACGCGCACGCGCACACACACACACACACACACACTTTCCCCCTCTCCATACGTAACATCCACACGCATCATCTCTCCCCTCTGTCACCGTCAAAGTTGCACACTGGCGCGGGTCAGAACTACATTGGAGCTTTCATTTACACACACACACATATACATACACACACACATACACACATACATACATACACACACACATACACACACACACACATACATACCGGTCTGTCGCGCTCCTCTGTGTCACGGAGCCCAAAGGATTCGCGCAAATACACGGCTCCAGTCAAACCACATGGAACATGTTTGTGTTTATGGTCCTCGGGATCAGCTCCACACACATCACTTGTATTTAAACTTTTGTGAAGACCTGTGAGACGCGGCTCGTCACTCGCTGATCTGACCATGTGAACGAGCCGTCGTTTGCTGCTAGAAAGTTTTGGTATTAACCCGCAGCACAGCAGAATGGGAAGATTAAAAAAGCAGTTCTCTGTGCGCAAAGGTGCCGGAGCTGTTACGGGTTTGGGCGCCGCTGTCTCGGCTCTGATCCCGTAGAACGCAGAGCTGCACTTATGAAAAGTACGTGGCTCGAAATGGCTGTTATTTCAAAGAACGTGGACTATTTTAAACTACGCGGTTAACCGGTTTCAACCGGTTAATGAGGCTCGGTGGTTGGTCATGAAAATTCATAGTTTTTTACATCCCTATTAGGGTCCCAGATGGATTCGTCTGCATATCTGGCAACCTGAGTCAGGGAGAGTGAGAGAGGCTGCAGTACCACTTTTGGACAGATTTTTACATAATGCTCCTGAAGATGACTCAAAAAGTGATCCATTAAATGTTTGTGGAAACCATCAAGGGTTAAATGTCTAATGTTAAAGTATGATATAATTGCCATAGTTAAACGATTTGAACAGTAGAGTTTTGCATCAGTACTCACAGTCTCCGGTGGTCTCGTACTCATACTTGGGGGAGTAGGAGCTGTATCCGGCCGCTGTCCTGGTGCGCACACTGAAGACGTACCATGTGGCAGGTTTCAGGCCAGAGACGATCACACTGGGAGCTCGGGTTCGTGTGGAAGAGTAGCTGGTCTGTTCATGCTCCTGGAATAAAGACACACGCATAGTTTTACAGAAGGCTTGTAGACACCTGTAGAGAGTGTGAGTGAGTGAGTGAGTGAGTGAGTGAGTGAGTGAGTGAGTGAGTGAGTGAGTGAGTGAGTGAGTGAGTGAGTGAGTGAGAGAGAGAGAGAGAGAGCGAGAGAGAGAGACATTTTTCAACATTTATAAAGCCAAGTATAATTCAGTACCAGACAAATAAAGTTCTTTACTGTCTATAAACAAAACATGTTGAAGATCATAGATAGAGGATTACAACTTTTTGACAATTTCTCAAAGCACATATCTGTTTTTGAAAATATACTTATTATTTGATACTGATTAGGATGTGGTAATAAGCAGAAGGAGTTTTGCTTTTTTCTGTCAAACTTTCCGTCTAACAGCAACCTGGCTCTCCACAAATGTATTTATCATAATTCTGTTTCTGTACAGTTTTGTGGCTCCATCTAATTCACATCAATTATCCACTATCGATGCCAATATGACTTTTCAAACATCCATTTTATTGTGTTCCGATGACAGATGGCTTGATATTGTGATCTATGTGATATCTCATTGGACACCTTTTCCACAGAGAAGTGCTTTGGCATTGTCCGCTCACTCTGCTAAATAGACTCCAAGTTACTGGCCAAGCTCCACCTGCTCCACTGTATCTCTAACAATGTAATCATTCAACCTCAGCCTCCAGTCTAGATTTGGCTGTGCGCGCGGCCCTGGTCACATAAAATTGCTTACTACGCTTGTGTGCTCTCGAGGCTAAAATTCTGCAGCACCCAACCGGTTTGAAATGAGTCGCTCCTATATCATATACAGTGAGCCTTCTATAACTTAGTACAAAGATGGCATGTGTGCAATATATGGGCTGTCACATCTGGCTGAAGTCCATGCAGCGTTAAGAGAGAAAGTAAATACAGTTTGCAATACCTTCTCGTAGTATTTGACCTCGTACTCCAGGATGAGCAGGGCTGTCTGTTCCGGCTGCTGCCAGGAGAGGGCGATACTGTTCGGAGAAGCCCAGTCCTTCTTCATGACGCCCACCACGGATGGACCTGAAGGGACACAGGAAAAGGAATAGATTCTCAATCATGTGTGTCCAAATACTCAAAACTAACATGTGTTTAATAATTCATAATAGAGTGAATTGAGGTTCAAAGTGTAACAATTTAACCAAGAAATATGGTTGCATGCAAATAACCAATAGATTTAACGGGACAGTATGTAAGTATTTTCAATCTGAATGACACACACATTATTTTTGACAGTTTAAAGAGGAGTTGTGCTTCATTGAAAACACAAATAGTGCCCACAAAATTGTATTTATATATTTTCAATCATCACCAGAGAGCTGAAGGACTGGCACCGCAAGTATTTAACTGAAAGCACAAAAAGTATTCATATGTACATAAACATCATCAGGTGTTCAGCATCAAGAATCAGTGCTAAGCAGAGAGTTACATGTTTCATAGACAGGATCTGAAGATTCTGGAAAAAAAGGTTGGACATCTAGATCAACGTGTATAAAGAATATCAAATCCTCTCTGTATGTAACTCCACTCTTCAACCACCAGGGCGGGGTGTTGATTTTTTTTTTTACATTTACATAATACATTGAGTGCTGCAAATATACAGTCACATGGTTGTATTGTCGTAGAACTAATACTTTTGTTTTGAAAGGCAGAAAATGCTGAATGCTGTAACTGTGTAAGGATAGTGAGGAGCATTTGGCCAAGGGATGAATTTGAGCATGGATCGAGCAAAAAACAACTCCAGGTCTGTTTTAATGGGGAACAATATTGTAACAAACAAAAAATATAATAAATATATATTTAAATATGTGTAAATTTCAGTTATAGTTATAGGATGAATCCAATGGCAGAGCAATACAGTCTGCATTGGGATTAATATAAAAATAGTTGGGCTGTTTTTAAACCCATATCTCTAAATAGAACATTAATTGCTTTTTTTTAATCAATTCCAGGACATAAGCATTTCATGACTTAAATCCAGATTCATATTCTGAACTCGAGTCTCTTCAATATTTGAGCAGCGCATAAAAAAGCCCATCAAAAATTAGATCAATAACCTATTTACTATTTTCTTTAGCATCTGAGAGCAGCCTTCGTCCTGTCCACCTCACAGTGTGAAGCCTTTTATTTTGCCGCCGTATAAAGTCTTGTTGATGAGGAGAGAGCGCTTGACCCCGACTGGCAGCCGGTCTGACACCTCTGTGCCCTGAATACTGATACTGGGCCTTTCTCTGGACGCCACTGATCCAAGCCTCTACTGTATGCAACTCTACACCTTTATCTTTACCACAAACATGAAAATCACAAGAAACACATTCAATATCTTCATATTATCACAATCCCTATCATCAATGCTGATTTTTATTTTGTCAACGATTCTGGATGTGTTAAATTGTTCATATTCTTATTGATTTATACATTTGAACAGTATCAATAGGGGCAGGTCCAGGTGTCACTGGCTAATGGCCATTGGTTAATCCTTCTTCCTGCAGCTAAGGGGGCGGAGCCAATGCTAGATCATATGTGGAATCCAGAAAGGGCCATGTGGCTGCAGGTTTTACTTCCAAACTGAGCAGGAGCACAGATGACTCCACCCATTTCCTCGGGTGAGTCCAATCTCCATGCCTAAACTTATAGCCATTCCCATAGAATGACCCCAAACCACCCTTAACCCTAACCTTAACCATCTTACTCAGATACCTTAAACTTAACCAGTCACCACACAATTTGAAAGTAGGATTGTTACTTCAGCTTCCAATCAATCAATGTTTGTTTATTTCGAGCAAATAAATGTACAAGAAACAAAAGTAGAATATCAAAATTGTGCATAAATAACCCTGAGCTACATTTACATAATACAAAATTATAAATATTATATACACAAAAGAAACACTTGCAGATACTCGAATAGGAGTGGGAACAAGAAAACTTATTTACCCCTGCTCAGCTTCCGTCCTGATTCCGTGTATGATCCAGTGCCGACCGACATGGGTCTCATTTACTAAACTGAGCGGGAGATTGTGACTATAATACCACGTACCCGGCTCATACCAGGGCCCGACTGCAGCGGCTCTAACTGAAGACTAGATGCAAGAACGATCTGCATCAACGCTGTCTGTGCTTTTATGAACTAATCCATGGACACGAGTCTAAACAGAGTCGGGCTGTTCTTTACGCACAGCGGCTCCACGACGCTCTCCTCAGGCCGCGCTAAAGTGGTCCGGACATTAAAAGCAGGTGCTTCAGTGGCTGCTTTGAGTTTGCACATTTGGCCAATAGCCTTAGCTTGGACATGTCTGCTCTGCTATTAAAGATCTAACGAAAAGAATGTCTTTAGGTCTCGCTGCAAAGAAACCACTTTGCTTGTTTCTTGGACAACTATTCTATTCGGCAGCAGAAAATTATCACATACCCTTGGTTCACTTTCAATTACACGAGTCCAGAGAATATCGTTCCATTGAGAGGAGAAAAATGCACACGTTTTGGCTTTTCCCCCAAGATGCATGCTTAATTGAAAGTACGGGAAGAAAGATGAAGCTACTTGGGCCCAATTGCATTACCTTGACTGTATGAAATATTGCATTCTGGGTAATTGTAGTGAGCGGCTCCCATGAGAGGTTGCCGCATGTAACTGTCCCAACAGTCATTATTATATATTATATGGATGTTGTAGCAGGAGCTGACTCAATAAAGAAAAACATATGCTGTATTGAACTTTATGTTATGGAAAAATATGGGAAGATTGGTTTGTAATATTTCACATAATTGCATTTCTAGTGGTCTGCCATAACAGCACATATTTATTTATGAGGGCCAGGAGCAACCATGTATGCATTATGTTGACTATAAACTAGCATCAAATTTGAATATTATAAAAATGTAAAGGTGCAAATCTGTATATTTACTTCAGAAAACGACTGAAAAGACAGATATGATTCAACTTTCCTAAAATGATTTTTTTTTTAAAGTATTTTTTTCTTTTACCTCTTTACTAAATTATTTTTATTATTAATATTATTATTAACATTTTTTTATTTCTATTTTGCATATACATTTGTGTCAATGTTTTTATTTCTTGTATTCATTATTTTTATTTTTATGATTATTATTATTTTTATTATAACTATAATTGCTGAATAATGACGTTTTGACCATTTGAACTCTGAAGCCAAAATTTCAAAAACAAAGCACAATTTTTTTATTTTTTATTATCTCAAAATAAATAAATGTTTGTTTGTCAAGTGATAATTTCTCTAACAGTCTTTTCTAATGTTTTATTGCACAGTTACTAGTAAAACCTTGACCATGATGTTTACAACAAAGAAGTGAAATGATAAAAACTATCTGTAAAATCTTTAAAATTCTGTTAAAACAAAATAATTAACCGTGTGTTCTCGTACCAATCATACACACTCTATAGAAAACCTAATTACCTCAAAGTTTACTAAACACAGTTAGGTTTCATTCATCATTCGCTCAACACATTACTATACCAGCTTCTCTTTTCTGCATGAAATCTGTTTTAATGCTTGACTTCTTCTTAATAACCTGCACTTAATAGACTCCCCACATTTGGCAGTCTTTGTGAAATGTTGGCAGAAAGAACAATATTAATATCATGCGTGAGTGCAAGCAGCTCTAGAGCATTATCAGCCCAATCAGCGCTCTCTATTGGCTCTGCACCGGAGCACATTGGGACGCACCAGCCCGTTTTGGACACGTGGGCACTTTTTTGTAAATTAGAAAAGAAAAATGCACATATACAATAATCGGTCTAATGTGCTGCTGACATGTCATGAGCTGCAATTACGTACAATTATTTTACATGATAAGCTTATTTAGGCTGGATTTTTCTATCTATTTCAATTATTATGTGTTCATGATATTAGCATATGTTGTACAGATCCTGCTGTTTTGTTGTGTTTTGTTTTTCAGTCTCTCGTTGTGGGTACAGTGCTTTCCTTTCGGTGCAGAATGCTGTAATTTCGTATGGCTCGAAATACAATATTCAAATTTCAATTCACTTCAGCAACACAATTAGGATTATTAACAAAACTATAGGCAACATTCTGGGAGAAAATTCAGGAAGTGCATTTTTTAAGGGACATTTTATGGACCAGAATTTGGAATCAAGAATCTAAATCAGCCTTAATTTTTTTTAGGAATAATTTAGGAATAATTGTGTTTGTTTGTGTCCAATGAAGATATGGTTTGCCTTTTAAACATTGAATCATACTATTTTATCCCATATTCAATAAATAAACAATGTTGACCTCACATTTGTTCAATTCCAAATGCTTTCATTGCTCACACATGCACTGTAAAATATTGTCCATATTTGCAAGCCCACATTCTTGTTACTTTTGCACAGAGGTAAAAGTAACTCAAAAAAATATACAGGTTTGCCAGCGCTATATGTTTAAAATAAATTATTAATTGGAAAAAGTAATCAAAATTGAATACATATTTAATATATCAAAGAATTCCACAACACACACACTGAGTTAGATCATGTGTGTGTTTGGATTCAATTATTTTGGCTCTATCACTATTTTCCATGTCGTTTTGGCTTCTTTCACATCTTTAAAAGGTACCCTGTGTAATTTCTACAGTTGCTCCAAATGAAAGTTCACCAATAACAAATGTGACCTTTTTAAGAATATTAACCTTCACCATGTTTTAGAATTTTTGTCATAGACAGAGAATTCGACTTATTAATGTCCATGAGGCTGAAGGACTCTGTGTCAATGCGCCATCTTGAAATACAATGGTTGATAAGGGACAAAAAGGAGTTTGACCGAGAGTTGGGGGCCATTGTCAAAGACGACATATTGACCTTTGAAGCTACCGTAGTACCGTATATCACAATATATATGATCTCAATGCTAGATGGGAATAAAAACTACACAGTGTACCTTTAAATCTGTTTTTTAGTTTTTTCAGAAAGATGTCAAAGAGAGGCTGGTCCCTCAGTTCTCAGCCCTTTCAGTAAACATTAGAACGCCATGTTGCAAAAGTACCAT